GGTTTAGGCCTAGGTTTAAGTAGTGTTCTTGGGTAAATGAATTACCCTATGGGAATTGTTAAATGGGAAAGGAAAATTAGGTAACAACGGAACCATGAAGTATTCAGGTGAAACATTGAGGGATAAAAGTTGTTTAATAAAACATATGAGGTAAGGGGTATGTTTATGGGAAGATCAGAGTGGGATGTTATATGATAACTTTGGATAAGCATGACCATAAGGTTAGAGATGACAAATATAATGTAATTTTTATGGACCAGGTAGTAAGAAGAGCAGGACGTTGATGATTAAACGATTAGCTTTTGACTGACAATGTGACTATGGAGAATTTTAGAGATATTTGGTGGGTTTGTGATGATAAAATATATATTCTTACATTATGAATGGACAGGATTTGGTTACATGTCAACGTTGAAGCTTCCATATGAGGTTTTACCATTATAAGAGGGATAGCATTGGACACAGCTAAATCTAGGGTTAAAAGGGTGACATGGCGACATGCCATAGTCTTCAAGTCTATCATTGAAGGATGAATCTAAGGGAGAAGGGGGGACTTTATTCATGGTATGGTGTAACATTTGGGAAGATCATATTGATAAATATTAGTTATACTTTGAGTCCAGATAGTTCAGATAAGATCACTGGGGTTATAGATGCATTATAAGGGATGTGTTTGGGAGATCTGAGAAGATTTGGTTGCAAGATCAATTAGGCCAGTAGGGGCAGTGATGGGTCAGATTTTAGTTTCAGCTTTGATAACACTGGGTGATGTTTGTAATTTGTTACTTACCTTTGAGAAAGTTATGATATTGAGATAGGTTGGAGAGTGATTCCTGGAGACAACACTCAGATGCCGGTGTTGACTGTTCCTGATCTGGATAAAGATGGATGGACTACTGATGGATAAATATCATTTTTTTTTTATGAGTTGATTATTATTTTTTATTTTTTTATTTTTTTTATTTTTTTTCAATAGTAGGGTGATGTTGGTATGATTTATGAATCAAGGGGGGGATAGGTTAATGTGATTCATACATCATTTATAGGTCATTTTTATATTCTTAAATTGATGTTGAGGTTTAATTTGAAAATGTTGTTTTGCAAAAGATACTGTTTGGTCGTTTATTTTCTTGTCATTCCAGAAGCATTTGGGAGAACATGTGGAGATTGGAATACTCAAACAAAGACAATATGAAGGGACAATATGACTGGAGGAGATGAAACAAGGAGGGTGTGGCTGATTCCATCATCAACAAGTCCATTGGAAGAGGACACTACAGGGAGATGAAGTGTAGTGGACTACATTCCAGTGTCTGCAATGAAATATAGACATGTGTAATACATAATTGTGTAATAGCCTCAGGGATTAATTGTTGTAGAATGATGTTTGATGTAATTGGATACATGTAAGGATCTTAGATGTTTTTGTTTATTTCGGTGAATGTTTAGGGACAGAGAGGCTAGGAAGGGAGAGTTTCATTGTCCGGTTCTATGGGTTGACCAGCCGTACAATGGATGTTTATGGATAGGATTTTGTTTGCATGTTTGCAGGGGCTTACATGTGTATTTAATTGCATCATAGTTTCAAATGCATTTACATGGTTAATGAGGTTATCTGGAGTACCGACGGTGGTTGCCTGGGGCAGAGGGACCGTGAGAGAATTTTACTGTCTTGATTGATATGGATGGATGGCTGCCAGACAGTTTTTCGCTCTTACACTCCATAGAGATTTCTTCATATTTCATAGTAATGTATTCACACTTCATATGTCATAGTAATGTATTCACACTTCATAAACAGGTATTTCATAGAAAGGTATTTACACTCTAGAGGAGAATGTGTTTGGTTTAATGTTAAAGATACTCAATAAGATAAATGGTTAATAGTCATAATCCTATTCTGTTTGGTTTCGAGACGTTTAGGTTGTCTCGAAAGGGGGGAATATGTAGTGTATTAAAATTATGTCTTTGTTAAATGTTTTTCATGACGAAATGGAATGTTGGTTGTTCAGGCCAGAGGGGGGATGTTTTATGATGTTATTTGAAATGTGCCGCTTGGAGGGTGACGCCCGAGGGGAGACTGGTGATTGGCCAGAAGAGGGGGTAACCCTTATTTTGGTATTGTCTATATAAGAAGGGTTTTAGACCATAAACCCCAGAGCAGCAATTAGAATTGGAGGACACTGCTCTCCAGACCTCGCGAGTCTGTCACCCATGCTGAAGCTTGTGATCTGAATAAACCTTATGATCAACGTGCAGTATGAGCAGACTCCTTTTGTTCATCAGCAATAATTGCCACCATTCATCTGATACGACACTAGAATAGTTAGCATGTTAGCTAGCCATTGCTCTCTGCCAACGAACCAACCCCTTCTCCCACGGTATTAAACACACAGAGAGAGCCAAGCTAACGTTAACTAGTCACCCATGACTCTGGTTACCAGTATGTAAAAAATAAAATAAAAATAAATGTAGGTTATAACTTACCCTTAGTAGCTACTGTTAGCTAGTTAAGTGTAAAGCTAGCTACTGAATTGATTTAGCCAGTTCGCGTCTGTCCCAACGGAGAGAAAGCGTCTCCAAACAATTAGGGAAGGGGTGGTGGGGTTGGAAAGTAATAAAGGGAAATACATTAAAGGATATGTATATATATGTATGTATATGTATGTATATGTATTTATATGTATGTATGTGTATATGTATGTGTATGTATGTAAATATATATATATATATATATATATATATATATATATATATTTGCGAGAAAAAAAACATATGGGGGATTGGAAGTGATGCAGACAATTACATTGATGGAAGTTACAATCTATCTGCAATATTAAAGCTGATCTACCCCCTAAAAAAAAATAAAAAATAAAAAATAAAGAACGCATAGGGAGGAGGTGGTAGCCCAGGGGGGACACCAGCCGGGGAGCAGCACTAATCCACTGTATAGGGCACAAAGGCTAAGGCAGAGGATGGTGTACAGAGCGGAGGGCCCAACCCCACAACCAAGGGCTACTTGGAGCTGGGAGCTAAAGGTGAGGGGGAGCCCCAGAAGTCTCAGGAGGCAGAGGAGGAGGAAGATGACACATGGGATAAGCTGGAGGAGCTGCTGAACTTTTCATACTGAAGGGAGTCTGAAGAGTGAGTTCCTTGAATGAAGATTAGCTAAATTGTTTCATATTGGTCCACAATCCTGGATCTTCAGCTGGTACCAATTCCTTGCAATGTGTTATATGCCTTATGGAGGGACATGGTTCAGACGTAGGCCTACAATCCAGAAAACTTGATCTGTCTTGTAAAATAAAATGGACCATTAAAACATTTGCTACACTCTACATTTCTAATTCACCATGTTCTAATCGAACTAATATATTTTACTATATTTGTACAAATGTATAATACAAAGTCTGTGTTTTGTTTTGTAAAACTAGTAAACTAACAGATATCTTGCATGCAGTGTAATATATCAATTTGTGATATAACTGTGTAACAGGATGATGGTTTCAAATGAATTGTTCTTTTTTTTAAACAAATTTTAGCATAAATTCAATGACAGTGTTCCTTAATAAATGGTATCTGTGAGCAAAGAAAATAACCTCTTCACCCAAAGTTCTTATCTTTGTTTTTTCCTAGTGTGTCAGTAATTCTCAGGTTGATGTGTAGATTGACCTTTTTTGAAAACCATGTTGTGGGCATCAGTATTTTCTGTACACGGGTAATCATGGGGAAAGCCAAGTGTTGTGTATGATGTGGTTAGTATGTTTGATTGATAACTATTTGACCTTCTATCAGCATGCATCTTTGCATTGTAAAAGATCAAATCTGTTTATAGCCAAAGGTAAGGGCATTTTTTGTTAAATGGGCAATCTGCAATTGCTGCATCATTTAAAACAAAATAATGATATTCAGCCATTGATTTAAGAATATAACTTATAAATGCCTCAGGAGTTTAGTTTAACTGTATAGCCCCATCAGAACCCAAAATATGAGTTTGCTTTTTATTAATCGTTTAAAAAATCACAATAGATTCAAAACATGGTTAAAACTATAATTTTGATCCAATAGAAAGTCCGTTCTTGCATCCATCTATGCATTTTAGAGTGGTTACATTTTTCCATTCCCGTCCCTCAGCCATTTACCCAAAAAGTTGGCGGGGTGACCGCTTTGCTGTTGTTTGAACTGCAGTTTGCCAGTGACATTTAATTGTGTTAGCCAATGAAGCGGAACATGGTGGCGAGAGAGGTTACTGCCAATAACAGGAACAAGACAAACAGGTTACAGTAATCCTAGGATGTTACTCTACCTTCTGCAGTTTGTAAAAATATTCAAATGTTTATGCAAAGTATGCTTTGAAATTACATTGAAAGCGTGCTGTACATTTGGTGCTGTCCTTAAAATGATGTGGCAAAATGTATGGGGCACTGATTTTCTTACAGTCTGTAAGATTGTCAAAGACTCTCTATTGCAAATTAATTGATAGTTGAAATAATAAAATAACAAAATAATTACTGTTTCTGTATTGCCAGCAGAATAGAAGATCACCCTAGGCAATACCACACGAACAATAAGATTTCAGTGATAGTGGTTGACAGTGGCACACATCTCACTCATGCAGTGGCATCTGACTAAAGTTGCCTGTGTGGGAAAATAGTATGACAAATAATTATAGTGAGAAATCTGGCAATAGGGATTCCCCAGTTGTTTGGAAATTTCAACAATGGGTCTTTAAAGCTGCCACACAGGTCCAGAACCAAATCATTGGGAACCAGTCATTTATTCAGATTTATCAATAGAGAAATGGCAATGCACAAAGGAATAATGCTTCTTCTGCTGCTCTCAATTATGATTAGTCTGGCTGCCTCATCTCCAGCACCACATCCAGGAAGACCTGAATTTCATAAGGAAATCGATCAAATTGAAAGAGCACTTGAGGTAAGATAGTTATTATTAAACTAAAACATTTTCAACAAATGTTCAAGTCCAGACAACTTGTAAAGATGAAAGTAATGTAACTAATGTTACCTGTGTTTCCTGAACAACAGAACTGTGGTGAAGGCTGCAACACATCTGGAATCGTGAGTCCATAACAATCTCGGATAATTGGCTTAATCTTTTCTTCACTTTATTACACTCTATCTTTAAAAAACGTCTCAGTGCCAGTCTGATTCTTGTGTACACTGTACACTACATGAAACTCACCTATTGAGCAAAGTGCTAAAGAATCTCTAATCTGTCTTGTGACATTGCTTATCTTACTCAGATTACACACAGCTACAACATAGTGCAGCCTGCTGTGGTAGGCTAACTTCCTCTGTTGTCTCATTTCAATCTGCAAAACATATTTCATATCTTAGTATATTCAGTCCTAATGTAATGCATTGCTCTCTGATAAAGGAATGTTGACCTAAATGTATGTTTTGTATTGCAATATAATGGTTATAGTAAACAATTCTGTACCGGCAGTGGTACAATTCGGTACCCAATTGTCATGACCAGGGATGTTCTCTTGATAAGTGTGTGAATTAGAAAATGTTCCTGTCCTGCTAAGCTTTCGAAATGTAACAAGTACTTTTGGGTGTCAGGGAAAATGTATGGAGTAAAAAGTACATAATTTTCTTTAGGAATGTAAAGAAAAGTAGTCATAAATATAAATAGTAAAGTAAAGTACAGATACCCAAAAAAAACTACTTAAATTGTACTTTCAAGTATTTTCACTTAAGTACTTTACACCACTGTGTACCGTCTTCTTTTTCTGACACTTACTTCTCTCTGCAGGATCTAAAATGTCAGTGTCTCCAAATCCCCATCCCATCAGTGGTAAGAGAAGCATAATATGTACGTTGGAGTTGACACAGTAGTCATTTCATCCAATGTGTACCTTTATAAACCTTTTCTTCCATTACTTTGAATAGGAAACGTGCACACCAGACTACTTCAAACAAGGACTTCAGTCACTGAGGAGTGTGCATCCTGTTGCATACTTACTGTGGAGAAGAGTGAATAAGTCATGGTCCACGGTGAGTTGTTTCCCTTAAACATGCACAGAATTGTTCTTAGATTATAATGACATTCTGAACATGGCAGAGATAACTGAAGAGCCATGAAATTACCATTACATTGCTTACATTTACAAAGATCTTACCAGATGTATGTGTTATTCTCTCTCATAGTCGGACTTTCAGCAGCTGGCCCCTCACTGTGAACCAGTGGTGTCTCCACGGGTGTTTCTGGAGAAGCTGAAACAAGTGTTCCAAGGACTGAACAACCTCCAATCATAACAACATTATTTATATATTCTGTATTTATAATTTGTTTATTTACTATTTATCAATTTGAAATTGTACCGCTAATCGTTGAATAAACACCTGAAACAGACCTATCTACTACTGGCTTTGCTGTTCCTGTATTGACCTGATTGTGAAATGACCAGTAAATTAGATAATGTAGGGAGAAATAACTTGTAGTATTGGTCACTATCTGGAATCTGGATGTCACCGTGACATGCCAATTAGCTAACCTAATGACAGGCCAGTGTGAATGACCAATGCAACGGTGTTGTATCGAGGTGCTTCCCACTGTTGCTTCTCACACCACAGATAGAGTCCAGGGTGGCCCCTCTGAACAGGGCCAATGAAGTGTCCATACCCCTGGTGGAGTGTCCTACCACGTCATCTGGAGTTGGTCTACCTGCTGCAACGTATGATGTTGACACTGCATTGGTAATCCAATGTGCCAGTCTCTGCTTCGAGACAACGCAACCTTTCGTGTTCTCCCCATAACACACAAAAAGCTGTTCGGTTTGACGAACAGTTCTTGTTGCAGCAAGATACATACTCAATGCCCTAACCGGGTAAAGTGTATGCAACTCATGACTCTCCTCTGAGGAGTGGGGAGGCAGGTGAAATGCTGCTATGATTAAGGGCTGGTTAGCATGCGATGGTGAAAGCACCCTAGGTAAGAATGCTGGATTTGGCCAAAGCACTGCCTTAGATCCATCTAAGGATGGGTAGAAAGCGCATGTAATTCTCCAACACGCTTAGCTGAAACTATAGCCAATAGAAAGGCAGACTTGACTGAGTGCTCACATACTGTAACTCAAATGAAGACAGAGGCTCAAATGGTGGGCTCATAAGTGATCGTAGGACAACATCTAACTCCCATTTGTATTTGCATTTATTAGGATCCCCATTAGCTGCTGCCAAGGTCCAAACAAATTATGGCAAAATATAAAATAAAACAGTACATATAACACCACTACATATCTAAAATACAAAATGTCTAATACCACCATGTATAAGTCTGTGTAGAGTGCGTGTGCTGGCGAGTGTGTGCATATGCATGTGTGCTTGTGTGTGTTCCATAAAATGTAGTTTTATCTGTTTTTTAAATCTGATTTTACTGCTTGCATGAGTTACTTGATGTGGAATAGATTTCCATGTAGTCATGGTTCTTTGTAGTACTGTGCATTTCCCTAGTCCGTTCTGAACTTGGGGACTGTGAAAAGACACCTGTTGGCATGTCTTGTGGGGTATGCATGGGTGTCTGAGCTGTCAAGTAGTGATGACAAGTAGTGATGCAGTCAATCTGTCACGATCGTCATACACAGAGGACCAAGGCGCAGCGTGGAATGCGAACATACTTTTAATTTGAATGATCACACGAACAAAACAACAAACGATACGAAACATGAAGTCCTTGGTTACAATACAAACCATACGGAACAAGATCCCACAACACACTGTGGAAAACAGGCTGCCTAAGAATGGTTCCCAATCAGAGACAACAAGCAACAGCTGATACACGTTGCCTCTGATTGAGAACCACACCGGCCAACATAGAAACAAATGAACTAGAATATAACCCTAGCACACAAAACACATAGAAACAACACACCCTGGCTCAACAAAACAGAGTCCCAGAGCCAGGGCGTGACACAATCTCTCCTCTACTTTGAGCCAGGAGAGATTGTCCCTCTTTGTGGCACTTGACCATATGACTGGGGAGTAGTCCAGGTGCGACAAAACTAGGTAGGACTTGTTTTGTTCATAGCAATGTCAAGAAAGCAATGCAATGTCATGAGGGTACTGAAGGAGCCTTGTGGGGCCATAGCCTGCGGGCACCTTTCATGAATTTTGATACTAGAGGGTGTTCCCCTGGGGATGCACCCGCAATCTGGTCATGACCCATAGAGATGGCTGCTATATACACTTTCAACGTAGATGGGGACTTCCATGCAGCCGTAAGCTCCTGGTCAAAATGACAAAATGGGCAGGAATATGGCGATTCTGCATGGTCGACACACCACTTCCTGAACACATTCAACTTGTAGGAATACAGGGTTCGCGTAGAGGATGCCCTGGCTGCCTGAATTGTATCAATTACCAAGGAGGGCAACTCTGCAGCTACAAGGCGGTCACGTTTAGGGGTCACATCCACAACTTCAGAATGCTGGGTTTGGGGTGCCAAAGCTTGCCATTCGCTTGTGACTGGAGGTTTCAAGTTTTAAAGTTTATTAGCCACGTGCACAGGATACAACAGGTGTAAAACAGAAAGCTCTTTCCCAACAATGCAGTGATTATAATAATAATAATAATATAGATAATAATAATATAGATAATAGAAAATATAATAAAACATTTAAGTAAGACTAAAAACCACACAAGAACTATGATGAAGGTTAAAGAAACATGATAATGCAAGTATATACAGGTCAATGCCAGTACCTTATTCAATGTGCAGGCATACTGGAGAGTTGAGTTGGGTTTATATATAACAAGTGACTGTTAGTAGGATTTACAGTACATGTAAACAGGAGTAATAGTGACCAGTAGCAGGATAAATAGATAGATACTAATGGTAATGGCAATCAATAATCAATGGACAGCAGCATAATGGAGTATTAATGTCACGGTTTCGGCCGAGGCTGCTCCTCTTCCTTGTTCGGGCAGGCTTCGGCGGTCGTCGTCTCCGGAGTACTAGCTGCCACCGTTCTATGTTTCATGTTCGTCTGGTTTTGTCTCTTTGTAACACCTGTCCCTTGTTTGTGTTTGATTATGTTCCCTATTTAGTTTCGTTTGTTTGGGTCAGGTGTTATGCGTGATTGTTTATTTGTCAGCCTGCCTCAGTGGAGTTTATATTCTCTCGTTGTTGTTTGTTTCCGAGAGTTCGCACTGCGTGCGCTTTTCTTGTTTATTCGCACTGTGTTTGTGCGTAATTGTTTGCGCCACCCGGTTGGGTTGGCGACTCATTGTTCACGTGTTTTGGACATTACTAAAGACGGTTGAAGTCATCCTGGTTCCTGCGCTTGATTCCTTTCACTCATCCACACACACCACTCTGACAGAATCACGCATCACCTCATGGAATCAGCAGGAGCGACCGCGCCAACAGCAGGGATGGAGGAACGTCTTCGTGGGCAGGAGGATCGGATTAACCAGGTCTGTCATGCCCTGGAGGGGGTGATGAACACTCTCCACCGATGGGAAACCAGCGAGGTACCCACGACCCCACGAACCGAACCATCCCCATCGGTCAGTCCTCCTGCCTCATCTCCGGAACCCAGTGGGATTCGGCTCTCGCTCCCGAGGGCGTACGACGGCTCCACTGCCGGGTGTCAAGGGTTCCTGCTGCAAGTGGAGCTCTACCTCGCCACCGTACACCCGGCGCCCTCGGGACACGAGAGCGTCTCAGCCCTCATCTCCTGTCTCACCGGCAAGGCGTTGGAGTGGGCCAACGCTGAATGGAGGAGAATGGACGCCGCTACTACTAACTATGCGGAGTTCTCCCGCCGCTTCCGTGCTGTGTTTGACCATCCACCAGAGGGGAAGGCGGCGGGGGAGCGTCTGTTCTACCTCCGACAGGGGATGAGGAGCGCCCAGGACTTTGCCTTGGAATTCCGGACTCTAGCGGCCGATGCAGGGTGGAATGAGCGGGCCCTTATAGACCACTTCCGTTGCAGCCTCCGGGAGGACGTCCAGCGAGAGTTGGCGTGCAGGGACACCACGTTGACCTTTGACCAACTTGTCGACATGGCCATTCGGCTGGATACCCTGCTCGCCACCCGTGGACGTCCCGGGTGGGGTTCGCCCATTCCACTCTCCAGCACCTCCGAGCCGAGCCCTATGGAGCTCGGGGGTGCTGGCGCTAGAGAACGGAGGAGTAGGAACCCGAGGGGGGCCGTTCCCTGCACTAACTGTGGCCGTGGAGGGCACACCGCGGCTAGGTGTTGGGGAGGGTCCCCCGGTGGAGGAGAAGGCAGGTCACACATTGGGGGGTCCCCCCAGGTGAGTAGGCGCCCTACTTACCCAGAGCTTTCTGTCGTGCACCTAACCTTGCCTGTTTGTTTTCCACAGGTTGCACCTCGTTCCCAGCATAAGGCGCTGGTAGATTCAGGCGCAGCTGGGAATTGTATAGATCGCCAGTTTTGTATAGAGTTAGGGATTCCCCTCCTTCCAGTTGATAAGCCTTTCCCTGTTCATGCCCTAGATAGCCGTCCGTTAGGGTCTGGGTTGATTAGGGAGGTCACAGCACCCCTTCAGATGATGGCGCAGGAGGGTCATGAGGAGACGATTCAGCTCTATCTGATTGACTCTCCTGCGTATCCGGTAGTGCTGGGCCTTCCCTGGTTGATGACCCATGACCCTACTATTATGTGGCGAGAGAAAGCTCTAAAAAGGTGGTCTGCCCAGTGTGAGGGGCGGTGTCTGGGTGTTTCCATAGGGGCGACCTCGGTGGAAAGTCCGAATCTAATGACAGCACTGCATATTCCCCCCGAGTATGAGGATTTGAAACTGGTGTTTAGTAAGACTAGGGCGGCGCAGCTGCCGCCTCATAGACGGGGGGATTGTGCGATAGATCTCCAGTCAGGAGCAGCTCTCCCGCGGAGCCATGTGTATCCCTTGTCTCAAGAGGAGAGGAAGGCAATGGAGACGTACATCGCTGAGTCTCTTAGACAGGGATACATACGGGCCTCCACTTCACCCGCTTCCTCAAGTTTCTTTTTTGTGAAGAAAAAGGATGGAGGTCTGCGCCCGTGTATTGATTACCGCGGTCTCAATCAGATTACGGTGAAGTACAGCTATCCACTTCCTCTGATTGCGACTATGACGGAGTCACTGCACGGTGCGCAGTTCTTTACAAAATTGGATCTCAGGAGCGCATATAACTTGGTGCGCATTAGAGAGGGCGATGAATGGAAGACAGCGTTTAGCACGACTTCCGGACACTACGAGTATCTAGTCATGCCATATGGGTTAATGAATGCTCCCTCAGTCTTCCAATCCTTCGTCGATGAGATTTTCCGGGACATGCAGGGATAGGGAGTAGTCGTGTACATCGACGACATTCTGGTGTACAGTCCTACCCGAGCAGAGCATGTAGCCCTGGTGCGCCGAGTATTGAGGAGGCTGTTGGAGCATGACCTATATGTCAAGGCAGAGAAATGTCTGTTTTTTCAGAAGTCGGTCTCCTTTCTGGGTTACCAGTTGTCTGCGTCAGGGGTGAGGATGGAGGTAGACCGGGTGTCAGCTGTGCGTAATTGGCAGACCCCAACCACTGTGAAGGAGGTGCAACGGTTCTTGGGTTTTGCGAATTATTACCGGAGGTTTATCTGGGGTTTTGGACAGGTGGCAGCTCCCATAACGTCTCTGTTAAAGGGGGGTCCGGTGCGCTTGCGGTGGTCAGCTGAGGCGGACAGGGCATTTGGGAGACTGAAGGACCTGTTTACCTCGGCGCCGGTGTTGGCGCATCCGGATCCCTCTTTACCGTTCCAGGTAGAGGTGGACGCGTCAGAGGCCGGGATAGGGGCCGTTCTTTCCCAACGTTCTGGCACTCCACCTAAACTCCGTCCCTGTGCGTTTTATTCAAAGAAGCTCAGTCCGGCGGAGCGGAATTATGACGTAGGAGACAGGGAGCTGTTAGCCGTGGTACAGGCCCTAAAGGTGTGGCGACATTGGCTCGAGGGGGCTCAACACCCTTTCCTCATTCTAACTGACCATCGTAACCTGGAGTATATCCGGGCAGCTAGGAGACTGAATCCTCGCCAGGCCCGCTGGACTATGTTTCTAGCCCGGTTTGTGTTTAAGATCACATACATCCCTGGGTCCCAGAACGGGAAGGCAGATGCTCTGTCTCGGCGGTATGACGCGGAGGAGAGGTCCGTTGAGCCCACGCCCATACTACCAGAGTCTTGTCTGGTTGCACCGGTGGTGTGGGAGGTTGATGGCGAGATCGAGCGGGCGTTACGCACCGACCCAAGTCCTCCACAGTGTCCAGTGGGTCGGACGTACGTTCCGCTCGAGGTACGCGATCGCCTCATTTGTTGGGCTCATACGTCCCCCTCCTCTGGCCATCCGGGTATCGGCCGGACAGTGCACTGCCTTAGCACAAAGTACTGGTGGCCAACGTTAGCTAGGGATGTGAGGATTTATGTCTCCTCCTGTTCGGTGTGTGCCCAGTGTAAGGCGCCCAGACATTTGCCCAGGGGTAAGCTACAACCCCTGCCTATTCCACAACGACCCTGGTCCCACCTCTCGGTGGATTTTGTTACCGACCTTCCCCCCTCACAGGGGAATACTACCATCCTGGTCGTTGTGGATCGGTTCTCGAAGGCCTGTCGTCTCCTTCCCATGCCGGGTCTACCTACTGCCCTACAGACCGCAGAGGCTCTGTTTACCCATGTCTTCCGGCATTACGGGGTACCCGAGGATATAGTGTCTGACCGGGGCCCCCAGTTCACCTCCAGAGTGTGGAGGGCATTTATGGAACGGTTGGGGGTTTCGGTAAGCCTTACCTCGGGTTACCACCCGGAGAGTAATGGGCAGGTTGAACGTGTTAACCAGGATGTGGGTAGGTTTCTGAGGTCATACTGTCAGGGCCGGCCGGAGGAGTGGGCGAGATATGTGCCCTGGGCCGAGATGGCACAGAACTCTCTCCGCCACTCCTCCACCCAACTAACCCCTTTTCAGTGTGTATTAGGGTACCAGCCGGTTCTGGCACCATGGCATGAGAGCCAGATCGAGGCCCCCGCTGTGGATGAGTGGGTGCGGCGCTCGGAGGAGACGTGGGACGCTGCACACGTCCATCTGCAGCGTGCCATACGTCAACAGAAGACGAGCGCCGACCTACACCGCAGTGAGGGGCCAGTGTACGCACCTGGAGATCGAGTCTGGCTCTCAACCAGAAACCTGCCCCTCCGCCTGCCCTGCCGGAAGCTGGGTCGGCGGTTTGTGGGGCCCTTTAAAGTCCTGAGGAGATTGAACGAGGTGAGTTACAGGTTAGAACTACCTATTGATTACAAGAATATTAACCCCTCGTTCCATGTGTCTCTCCTCAGGCCGGTGGTAGCTGGTCCACTCCAGGACTTTGAGATTGAGGAGACTCCTCCACCCCCGTTGGACATCGAGGGGGCTCCGGCGTACACCGTGAGGTCCATCCTTGATTCGAGACGCCGGATGGGGGGTCTTCAATATCTTGTGGAGTGGGAGGGGTACGGCCCGGAGGAGCGGTGCTGGGTGCCAAGGAGGGACATATTGGACCAGTCCCTGCTGACCGAGTTCCATCGGGGTCATCCTGCGCGCCCTGCTCCGCGTCGTCCGGGTCGTCCCCGAGCCCCGGGTCGGCGCACGGCTGGAGCCGCGCCTCAAGCGGGGGGTACTGTCACGGTTTCGGCCGAGGCTGCTCCTCTTCCTTGTTCGGGCAGGCTTCGGCGGTCGTCGTCTCCGGAGTACTAGCTGCCACCGTTCTATGTTTCATGTTCGTCTGGTTTTGTCTCTTTGTAACACCTGTCCCTTGTTTGTGTTTGATTATGTTCCCTATTTAGTTTCGTTTGTTTGGGTCAGGTGTTATGCGTGATTGTTTATTTGTCAGCCTGCCTCAGTGGAGTTTATATTCTCTCGTTGTTGTTTGTTTCCGAGAGTTCGCACTGCGTGCGCTTTTCTTGTTTATTCGCACTTTGTTTGTGCGTAATTGTTTGCGCCACCCGGTTGGGTTGGCGACTCATTGTTCACGTGTTTTGGACATTACTAAAGACGGTTGAAGTCATCCTGGTTCCTGCACTTGATTCCTTTCACTCATCCACACACACCACTCTGACAATTAAAGCTAATCAATAATCATTTTAGCAATGATTATTCATTAAAACCGGTAGCAATCATATTCAAAATGATCCAACCTACAGATTAAACCAACAGACTACTTCAACTACAATAACATTCTCAGTAACGGTTACAGAAATATATTTTTCTTGCTATGACCGTGATACCCTATATATACAAAAGTATGTAGACATCCCTTCAAATTAGTGGATTCAGCTATTTCAGCCACAACCGTTGCTGACAGGTGTATAAAATTGAGCACATAGCCATGCAATCACCATAGACAAACATTGGCAGTAGAATGGTCTTACTGAAGAACTCAGTGACTTTCAACGTGGCACCGTCATAGGATGCCACCTTTCCAACAAGTCAGTTCGTCAAATGTCTGCCCTGCTAGAGCTGCCCCAGTCAAATGTAAGTGCCATTATTGTGAAGTGGAAACATCTAGGAGCAACAACAGCTCAGCCGCAAAGTGGTAGGCCACACAAGCTCACAGAACGGGACCACTGAGTGCTGAAGCGTGTAGCTCGTAAAAATCGTCTGTCCTCGGTTGCACTACCGAGTTCCAAACTGCCTCTGGAAGCAACGTCATTACAATAACTGTTCATCGAGAACTTCATGAAATGGGTTTCCATGACCGAGCAGCCGCACACAAGCCTAAGATCACCATGCACAATGCCAAGCGTCGGCTGGAGTGGTGTAAAGCTCGCCGCCATTAGACTCTGGAGCAGTGGAAACGCATTATCTGGAGTGATGAATCACGCTTCACCATCTGGCAGTCCGATGAATCTGGGTTTGGCGGATGCCAGGAGAACGCTACCTGTCTCAATGCATAGTGCCAACTGTAAAGTTTGGTGGAGGAGGAATAATGGTCTGGGGCTGATTTTCATCGTTCGGGCTAGGCCTCTTTGTTCCAGTGAAGGGAAATCTTAATGCTACAGCATATAATTACATTCTAGACGATTCTGTGATTCAAACTTTGTGGCAACAGTTTGTGGAAGGCCCTTTCCTGTTTCAGCATGACAATGCCCCTGTGCACAAAGCGAGGTTCGTACAGAAATAGTTTGTCGAGATCGGTGTGGAAAAACTTGACTGGCCTGCACAGAGACTGACCTCAACCCCATCGAACACTTTTGGGATGAATTGGAACGCCGACTGTGAGCCAGGCCTAATCGCCCAACATCAGTGCCCGACCTCACTAATGCTCTTGTGGCTGAATGGAAGGAAGTCCCCGCAGTACTGTTCCAACATCTAGTGGAAAGCCTTCCCCAGAAGAGTGGAGACTGCTATAGCAGCAAAGGGGAGACCAACTCCATATTAATGCCCATGATTTTGGAATGAGATGTTCAACAAGCAGGTGTCCACAAACGTTTGGTCATGTAGTGTAAAATCATATCTATTTTTGATTGATCTTCCCACCAATAATAATCTTACTCTAGGCCTAGTTTGTTCGCAGCTTAAGTCTTAATGCTGCTTCCCACTGTAGTTAGAGAATTCAACATCTGAGAGGGAGCAGGTAGTGGCATGTTAGATGTTATGTAAACCTGTAGTTATTGCATTCTAGATGTTCAGATAAGCACGTGAAGTGCATATTTTATGTCAATCAATCATTGTCTATAACAATGGCAATAAGAGTCTTGCTATCATTATTTCTATCACGTCATCATCTGACCTTTTTGAGATCCAAGAAGTGTGAGCATGGAATTTTCCATTTTAGAACAGGCTTAAATAAAAATGAGAAGGTAGGATACATACTGTAGGCTGTCGCACATACAGGTGTGTAAAGGCCGAAGTACCCCACCACCTCCGCATAAATGTCACATGGCTAGTTGCTACACATAGAGTACATCAGGGGCGCAACTTTGGTTTTAGAAGTGGGGGGGACATAATTAAAAAAAATATATATATATATATGTGTTATGTTGGATAAACACTCCAGACAGCTTACCTGACCGATCGGAGGCGTCCGCATGGTCCTAAAGCACACCGTTGCCTCGTTTGGTATCACATTCTAATGATAAAACTGGGGAGGACAAAAATGCCATTTCAGAATGTCCCCCCCATCCCCAGTGAAAGTTGTGCCCCTGGAGTACATATTTCTTAAAAGGTTAATGGTTTGCTATCGGTTATATGCTTTACTATGTAGAAATGTCCTAAATCAAGCATGTACGAATAATGCAGTTGAGTTGTTAAATATTGGACTCTACTTAGACACCTTGCACTTCGCCTATCGATTACCTGTACTCATATTATAATTTATTGTAAAATAGAGCACATTGTATCATCTACTCACTCCCTGTTACCCTTGTCCAGCTGAATGCCAGGCTGAGAGAGTGTGACCAGAGACTGACAGAGGTGCGTAATGAGTACCTTCTGACCCTGTCTGCCATCAACTCCCATCACCAGTACTACTACACTGCAGAGCTGCCTGCCATCATGAGGGTAAGACCACCTGGCATCTCCTAACTTCATACTGTCTTTCTGGATTCTCATCATGGGCTGTTGTCTTAGTAATAATAATAATATGCCATTTAGCAGACGCTTTTATCCAAAGCGCCTTACAGTCATGTGTGCATACATTTTTACGTATGGGTGGTCCCGGGGATCGAACCCACTACCCTGGCGTTACAAGTGCCATGCTCTACCAATTGAGCTACAGAGGACCACACTTAGGTATGGGCTCTCATAGGAATGAACACTGCATAGTCAGACGTACCTCCTATCAGTGAACAAAACCTTCCTATGGGTTTATGATGAGTCAGCTCTTACATCATTTCCTGTCTGTGGTTGTCTTGGCTGTAGAGCTGAGAGCACCAACTTCAGAGAAATTTGCCCAAATATGAAATGATCAAATGTTTTATTTTCACTTTTTCCCTTTGCAAAGTAATCAGGTGAGTCAAATGTTCAGCTCAGCAGAAACCATTCATTTAAGGGTTATTTTCCACACAGAACATTCATAACACCACAATCTTCTTGAATGTGACTCTTTATCTCTCACTAAAGGGAAATCTCTCTCAGTGACTCAACTCTTATTATTGCAGTAATAAACATAAATCATTATGAATCAGTTGATTAAAATCCTCACACAAGTGAATTTCCCTCTCAAAACACCTCTGATTTTGTCCGGCATGAGGGCTTCGGCCATAACCCCAGCTCTCGCCTCTTCCTTTTACCCAACAGTGACTGGACGGCGACCTGTATGACCAAATCCGAGAAAACGTCACTCTCCTGTGCTGCATAGAGATCGAGACCTGCCAGTCCACGCACAGCGACTTTAGCGAGATCCGCGAGGACTCCACCAAGGTGAGGTCAGGCGTGGGACCCACTGAAGCTCTTCTCACAGTAAACCCTCCACGGACAGTAGTCCCTCTCTTATGCCAAGAGCTGTGACATTCCTCACCTGGGCTCCGCTGATGGTGGCCAGGCAGGATGTTCTGTTCTGTGGGAGTCAGTCAGACAGTATTTGTTTGATTGTTTCCCCTGACAGGTGACTAGAGAACGGAACATAATTATTTTCCTCCAGGAGTCCCTGGCCTTCACCAGAACGGCGGCTTTCACTTCCAGGTTGCCCCTAAAGACAAGGTGTGGCCTGCTTTGATACCACTCTCCTTGGTTACCGTGTACACACCATTATATGGCAATTCATATTCACAAAGCTGATGAGTAAAACCCTAATTGTGGTGAATTTTTTTATATTTTCATTGAGTGAATGGTCCTTTGTGTGTGAGATAATCCCAGCTTCATCTCTCCTGTTGTTCCTAAAGGTGTTAATTCTGAAGCAACAGAGCTCCAGTGCTGAGGGGGAGAGCTGTTTGGACAAGGAGGCCTGCAAGTGGTCCTCTAAGGCTGCCAAAGACTACAAGATCATCACCCACGGAGAGAGGGTGAGTAGTGGGCGAAAGCTCTGTTTACCACTGGAGTGGGAAATATTGTGTTCACTAGGCTTACCTTGTGTAATCCCTGTCTGCCACCCTCACAGGCCCTGCAGATGCTGGAGAGGCGCTTTAAAATGCTGTCAGGAGACACAACAGTCAGCGTGGAGCAGAAGATTGTGGAGGTGAAGGAGAGTGTGAGGAAAGCACAGGTAGGACTTCTACTAGCCCAACGCTACAATGAACTAACATTAACATTACCCTCTTATCCCATCCTACCAGGACATTTATGAAGATAAGGCAACCAGTCATTAAAGCTAGAGTCCTTAATTGACACAATAACAAAGCAGCCACCCTGCCTCTGTTTTGGTAAAAAGCTGAGGGATCGGCCTGGAGAAATGTAACCACTCTCAAATTAATAGACAGAGCTATGGATGTAAGGACTGTGTCACGATCGTTATAAGTAACGGACCAAGGCGCAGCGTGATAGGCGTACATCTTTTAATGAGTACTTAATAACAATAACAAAACAACAAAATGATACGTGAAGTCCTAAGGTTAACAAAACACAAACCTCTCCGGAACAAGATCCTACAAATGACAAGTGCAAAACAGGCTGCCTAAGTATGGTTCCCAATCAGAGACAACAAGCCACAGCTGCCTCTGATTGGGAACCACCCCGGCCAACATAGAAACACATGAACTAGAACATGAACATAGAACACTAAACATAGAAACTAACACCCTGGCTCAACATATAAGAGTCCCCAGAGCCAGGGCGTGACAGACTGACCATCCATGATATCAACATTATAGTTTTACATGTTGAAGCTCACAGTGTTTGTTTACATTTACATTGTTTACAAACAAGCACATATTTTGGATTCTGATGGGTACCTAAATGGGTGGGATAGTTGAACTAAGCTCAAGAAGCATTTCTAAGTTATATTCTTCAGGAATCAATGGGTATATATCATTAATTTACAAGTCTAAATTGATGTAGCAACTAAGCTTTAACTAGGCTTTATTAACAGACCAGAGTTCCTCTGTTATTCACCTGTGTTAGCATAAAATAACTAAATCCACTTCTACAGAAGGCTAAGTGAGTGGTGTGTGTGATGAATAAAGGAATGAAGGCTGCATCATGTGTTCTAGGCCTATAGCCAAGCCTCTGCAGATGTAGGATGCTTTGTACTACTAGGTCCTTTTGTAGATCTAATGGCAGGACTCTAAGGGATGACTGAGTAAAATCAATCTCGTACAAAGTACCTGTGAGAGACGTGTGGGAGGGGTGACAGGTGGTAGTAATGTGCCTGTGCGTGTGTGTGTGTCCAGGTTAGCCAGGTGAAGGCGGAGTCCAGGCTGGCGAGCAGCGCCATGACCCAGGCAGATGAGGAGCTGGAGAGGGACAGGAGGCTGAGCGAGGCACACATGTCCAACGGAGACATTTCCGAGGACGAGTTTGAGTTTACAGACTTCGACGACTATGATAAAGATGGTGACACTTTCATTGATTCAACTTCGTGCTCGATGCTGTGCGGATACCCCTTGGCTTGCAGGGTTCTCTACAGCTATCAGGTGATAATATAATAACTTACTGTTTTGAAAATGAAAGCGTACAAAGTCAACATTACAGGAATGGGATTTCTCAGGTTTTATAGTGTGTAATTGGCCCCTCCCATCTTCCTGTAGGCCTGCCAAGGAGACGAGCTGTCAATCACAGAGGGGGAGGAGCTTCAGGTGATAGAGGATGGAGACATGGAGGACTGGCTGAAGGTAACAGGTGACAGGTTTCTCTCTGGCTGCGCCCCAGATGGCAGCCAATTCCCTATATACAGTGGGGGAAAAAAGTATTTAGTCAGCCACCAATTGTGCAAGTTCTCCCACTTAAAAAGATGAGAGAGGCCTGTAATTTTCATCATAGGTACACGTCAACTATGACAGACAAATTGAGAAAAAAAAATCCAGAAAATCACATTGTAGGATTTTTAATGAATTTATTTGCAAATTATGGTGGAAAATAAGTATTTGGTCGCCTACAAACAAGCAAGATTTCTGGCTCTCACAGACCTGTAACTTCTTCTTTAAGAGGCTCCTCTGTCCTCCACTCGTTACCTGTATTAATGGCACCTGTTTGAACTTGTTATCAGTATAAAAGACACCTGTTCACAACCTCAAATAGTCACACTCCAAACGGACCACACGGGGGGACCTAGTGAATGACCTGCAGAGAGCTGGGACCAAAGTAACAAAGCCTACCATCAGTAACACACTACGCCGCCAGGGACTCAAATCCTGCAGTGCCAGACGTGTCCCCCTGCTTAAGCCAGTACATGTCCAGGCCCGTTTGAAGTTTGCTAGAGTGCATTTGGATGAGCCAGAAGAGGATTGGGAGAATGTCATATGGTCAGATGAAACCAAAATAGAACTTTTTGGTAAAAACTCAACTCGTCATGTTTGGAGGACAAAGAATGCTGAGTTGCATCCAAAGAACACCATACCTACTGTGAAGCATGGGGGTGGAAACATCATGCTTTGGGGCTGTTTTTCTGCAGAGGGACCAGGACGACTGATCCGTGTAAAGGAAAGAATGAATGGGGCCATGTATCGTGAGATTTTGAGTGAAAACCTCCTTCCATCAGCAAGGGCATTGAAGATGAAACGTGGCTGGGTCTTTCAGCATGACAATGATCCCAAACACACCGCCTGGGCAACGAAGGAGTGGCTTCGTAAGAAGCATTTCAAGGTCCTGGAGTGGCCTAGCCAGTCTCCAGATCTCAACCCCATAGAAAATCTTTGGAGGGAGTTGAAAGTCTGTGTTGCCCAGCGACAGCCCCAAAACATTACTGCTCTAGAGGAGATCTGCATGGAGGAATGGGCCAAAATACCAGCAACAGTGTGTGAAAACCTTGTGAAGACTTACAGAAAACGTTTGACTTGTGTCATTGCCAACAAAGGGTATATAACAAAGTATTGAGAAACTTTTGTTATTGACCAAATACTTATTTTCCACCATAATTTGCAAATAAATTCATTAAAAATCCTACAATGTGATTTTCTGGATTTTATAATTTATAATTTATAATAATTGCTCCCACAGTTGATTTCTTCAAACCAAGCTGCTTACCTATTGCAGATTCAGTCTTCCCAGCCTGGTGCAGGTCTACAATTTTGTTTCTGGTGTCCTTTGACAGCTCTTTGGTCTTGGCCATAGTGGAGTTTGGAGTGTGACTGTTTGAGGTTGTGGACAGGTGTCTTTTATACTGATAACAAGTTCAAACAGGTGCCATTAATACAGGTAACGAGTGGAGGACAGAGGAGCCTCTTAAAGAAGAAGTTACAGGTCTGTGAGAGCCAGAAATCTTGCTTGTTTGTAGGTGACCAAATACTTATTTTCCATCATAATTTGCAAATAAATTCATTAAAAATCCTACAATGTGATTTTCTGGATTTTTTTTCTCAATTTGTCTGTCATTGTTGACATGTACCTATGATGAAAATTACAGGCCTCTCTCATCTTCTTAAGTGGGAGAACTTGCACAATTGGTGGCTGACTAAATACTTTTTTCCCCCACTGTATAGTGCACTACATTTGACCAGAGGCCTATGGGCGAATAGGGTGCCATAGAGGAAATAGGGTGCCATTTAGGATGCAACTTATGCCTCAGTGAACAGTGCTATTTACTGTAGCAGTCAGTTGGTCCCATACATTTACTACAGTACATTTACCCTCTACCAAACTGCAGTGGTCTCCCCACTTCTTGTTTATACTCAGCACAGAGTAAACACACTACTGCCCTTCCTGTGTGACAAAGAGGTACTATGTCGCAACCTCATCCTTACTGACCCATAACAGTTGTGAAAAATAACGAGATGCCATAATTGAATTACTATTATACTAGCTTACTTTACACATCTATGAAGTCAAACTGTACCTGACTACACTATCCATAAAGCCATGTTGTGTTTCCCTAATGCAGCAGGCCAGGTTGGCTATGTCCCTGAGAGGTACAGTGGGGGAAAAAAGTATTTAGTCAGCCACCAATTGTGCAAGTTCTCCCACTTAAAAAGATGAGAGAGGCCTGTAATTTTCATCATAGGTACACGTCAACTATGACAGACAAAAAATTCCAGAAAATCACATTGTAGGATTTTTTATGAATTTATTTGCAAATTATGGTGGAAAATAAGTATTTGGTCAATAACAAAAGTTTCTCAATACTTTGTTATATACCCTTTGTTGGCAATGACACAGGTCAAACGTTTTCTGTAAGTCTTCACAAGGTTTTCACACACTGTTGCTGGTATTTTGGCCCATTCCTCCATGCAGATCTCCTCTAGAGCAGTGATGTTTTGGGGCTGTCGCTGGGCAACACGGACTTTCAACTCCCTCCAAAGATTTTCTATGGGGTTGAGATCTGGAGACTGGCTAGGCCACTCCAGGACCTTGAAATGCTTCTTACGAAGCCACTCCTTCGTTGCCCGGGCGGTGTGTTTGGGATCATTGTCATGCTGAAAGACCCAGCCACGTTTCATCTTCAATGCCCTTGCTGATGGAAGGAGGTTTTCACTCAAAATCTCACGATACATGGCCCCATTCATTCTTTCCTTTACACGGATCAGTCGTCCTGGTCCCTTTGCAGAAAAACAGCCCCAAAGCATGATGTTTCCACCCCCATGCTTCACAGTAGGTATGGTGTTATTTGGATGCAACTCAGCATTCTTTGTCCTCCAAACACGACGAGTTGACTTTTTACCAAAAAGTTCTATTTTGGTTTCATCTGACCATATGACATTCTCCCAATCCTCTTCTGGATCATCCAAATGCACTCTAGCAAACTTCAGACGGGCCTGGACATGTACTGGCTTAAGCAGGGGGACACGTCTGGCACTGCAGGATTTGAATCCCTGGCAGCGTAGTGTGTTACTTATGGTAGGCCTTGTTACTTTGGTCCCAGCTATCTGCAGGTCATTCACTAGGTCCCCCCGTGTGGTTCTGTGATTTTTGCTCACCGTTCTTGTGATCATTTTGACCCCACGGGGTGAGATCTTGCGTAGAGCCCCAGATCGAGGGAGATTATCAGTGGTCTTGTATGTCTTCCATTTCCTAATAATTGCTCCCACAGTTGATTTCTTCAAACCAAGCTGCTTACCTATTGCAGATTCAGTCTTCCCAGCCTGGTGCAGGTCTACAATTTTGTTTCTGGTGTCCTTTGACAGCTCTTTGGTCTTGGCCATAGTGGAGTTTGGAGTGTGACTGTTTGAGGTTGTGGACAGGTGTCTTTTATACTGATAACAAGTTCAAACAGGTGCCATTAATACAGGTAACGAGTGGAGGACAGAGGAGCCTCTTAAAGAAGAAGTTACAGGTCTGTGAGAGCCAGAAATCTTGCTTGTTTGTAGGTGACCAAATACTTATTTTCTACCATAATTTGCAAATAAATTCATTAAAAATCCTACAATGTGATTTTCGGGATTTTGTTTTCTCAATTTGTCTGACATAGTTGACGTGTACCTATGATGAAAATTACAGGCCTCTCTCATCTTTTTAAGTGGGAGAACTTGCACAATTGGTGGCTGACTAAATACTTTTTTCCCCCACTGTACCTGCAGTCCCTAGCAGAAGGCTCCTCTGCCTGCCTTAAGCTGGGCATCCCTGGTCCCCAGCTGGACTGGTCCTTCAACAGCTCTGGCTCTTCATCAGAACACTCCAAGAAGTAGGGGCTCTCCTCCAGAACACTCCAAGAAGTAGGGGCTCTCCTCTCTTAAGAATCTTCACTGAACAATAACCAGAAAGCCAGTTTCTCTCTCCCACCTCTGAATGTTTGTGAGATGATTCATACCATTTGGACCAAATTCCAGGTTCAATGCATAATTTATATAACTGTGTCTCCATCTTGTTAATCATTACCAATGTTAACAACGTTTTCCCATGTATTATTGTCTCGCTGATTTCCAAGTGTGGGTGTGCTCTGTGACACAGGTCTGGCGTGGGCACTGTATGAGTACCACGACCAGGGTGCAGAGGAGCTGACCTTCCCAGAAGGGGCGCTCATCAGTCTGCTGCGCTGCCGCCAGGGAGAGGTGGACGACGGCTTCTGGGAGGGAGAGCTGGATGGACATGTGGGGGTCTTCCCTTCTCTGGTGGTGGAGCTGCTGCGATACCCGAGAGATCTGGTTAACCCTCTGAAAGACATGTTGTCATCAAATGTACCTTTGATTAAAGCATACAGGGATTGATGAGAAAGAAAGCTCTGAACAGTACAGATCTAATTGTGCCACCTTGTGGCATATTGTTGTAGTACTGTACAACACATTCCAAAAAACCTTTATTTAACTAGGCAAGTCAGTTAAGAATAAATTCTTATTTCCACCAGCCAAACCCAGACGACGCTGGGCCAATTGTGCGCCGACCCATGGGACTCCCAATCACGTCCGGTTGTGATACAGCCTGGAATCGAACCAGGGGGTCTGTAGTGATGCCTCAAGTACTGAGATGCAGTGCCTTAGACCGCTGCGCCACTCGGGAGCCCGTAAGACTAGTCAAGTAATAGAAGATTAATCTCTGCAGATAGAATTTGGAGGATGTTGAAAGAAATCTCTGCATTCTCTTCTCAAGGGGATTATCTGATGTTGTTTTAATGATCTGAAGTCCCATTGTTTCGACATTCCATTCCGCAGAGCCTTCTCACCCCTACTCTTCCTCCGTTCTCTCCACCCATCCCTATCTCTGGAACACTCTGCGGTCTCCTCTGCTCCTCACCTGGCCCTGGGTCCTGGTCTGTAAACAGTACACCTCCTAGAGATCTGGAGGACAGGTTGCAAGGTGCTGTCCCACTGGAAATACAGAGGCTGTCAGACAGCAGGGCAGGTGGGGATTCACACTCTCAGTAATTATAGAAACCTCATAGACTTCGTTATCAATGAACAGCACCATGCAAGTCCTTGAATATCCCTTGGAGCACGGTCAAGCTGATTATTAAGAAGTGAAAGGTGTATAGCACCACCAAGACACTGCTTAGATCAGGCAATTCCTCCAAACTGGATGAACGAGCAAGTAGGAGACTGATCAGAGAGGCTACCAAGTGTCCATAGGCACCTTTGAAAGAGTGTTGTGGAAATTCGTCACTATACTTTATTAACAATCAAAGTTCTTACAGAGTTTTTGTTGAATTAAGATGTACTTTATTGAATATCAATAAAAGGAAGCTGGTCTGCAGAGTAGCCTCTCTCTCTTCTTCTCCCCCTCCATCTTATATAGTGCCCTCCACACACCTTAGCTTTAAATCCCTCCTTCCTCAGTTTCCCGCTCTTTTATTGCTCCGCCCACTCCCTTTGTCTATGGTGGCGGCTACATTTGACTTTCATTAAGTTCAGAATCAATAGTAATACACTCAATCAATCCCTTATCTTGCAAAAACACTCATGTTTAGTTTAAACTCTGTTCAACCCTGGCGCCACTCTTCATCACTTTGTGTGAGGAGGGAGACAAAAGGCCACAGGCTAGTTTCAGTCCCTGATAAGATAGGACAGCCATAGATTTAAGTAAAAGTGAGCAATTTGACCCTAAGTCAGATTCCCTCTTTTACCCACACACACAGTGAAATGACCCAATTCAGTTAGCCACAAAGAATGTTAACTATATGTTCATGATTAACTCAGTTTTATCTCATAGTCCACTAAACATTTTCCAACAAGAGCTGCATATGTGCATGTGACAGCAATATCCCAAGCACTCCACAAATCTGGCATGTATAGTAGGGTGGCAAGAAGGAAGACATTACTCAAGAAAGCCCACCTTGAATCTGGTTTGAAGTATGCAAAAAAACACTCAGGAGATTCTATAGCCATGTGGCAAAAAGTTTTGTGGTCTGACAAAACAAAAATGCAAAGTGTTACGTTTGGTGCAAACCCAGCACGGCACATCACACAAAGAACACCATCCCTGCTTTGAAGCATGGTGGTGGCAGTATCATGTTATGGGGATGTTTTCTGGGGCACTTATCAGGATAGAAGGGGAAATTAATTGAGCAATGTACAGAAAAGTCCTTGAGGAAAACCTGCTGTCATGGGACGGAAGTTCACCTTTCAGCATGACAACGACCCGACACACACAGCCAAAGCTACAGTGGAGTGGCTAAGGAATAAAAAGGTACATGTCCTTCAGTGGACGATCAGAGCCCCGACCTAAATCCAATAGAACATTTGTGGCATGACTTGAAGATTGCTATCCGTCAACGCTCCCCAAGGAAGTTGACAGAGCTTGAACCGTTTTGTAAATAAGAATGGCCAAATATTGCCAAATCTACAGTAGGTGTGCAAAGTTGGTAGAGACCTAGTTCAACAGACTCACAGCTGTAATTTGTGCCAAAGGTGCTTCCACCAAGTATTAACTCAGGCAGGTGGATACTTATTGAATTATGATATTTCTGTTTAGTATTTCTTACCTTTTTCCTTTCACAATAACAAAACATATCCCCAAAAGTGTGTAGTATGGTGTGGGTAGAGGAGTGGGAAAAAATCCTTATTTGAATGCATGAAACTCTGAGGCACAAACACAATAAAATATGAAAAAGGTTCAAGGGGGTTTAGACTTTCTATAGACACTGTATATATTTGCTTATGATCAAATACAGGATTATTTGTGATCCTGTAGAAATGTGCAGTATTGTGGTTAAAGTGAATTTATGCCAGATCTTTTTTTACCTTGTCCTGTATTCATTATACAGTAGTAAACCATATTCTACATGTCATGTTCTATTTCCATGAGAAACATAATCAAACATGGACACTGAGATTTATTAAACAATCTTCCTGGTGTGTATGTGTTTATGCTTATTAATATCTTACCTATGAATTACAGGATGAGTATCAAAAAGTAATGTTCTCATCAGAACTGGGGCGGCAGGTAGCTTAGTGGTTAAGAGCGTTGTGCCAGTAACCGAAAGTTCGCTGGTTCTAATCCCCGAGCTGACTAGGTGAAAAATCTTCCGATGTGCCCTTGAGCAAGACACTTAACCCTAATTGCTCTGGATAAGAGTGTCTGCTAAATGACAACAAAAAAATTAAAATAAAGAATTACATTCCTAAATTGTGTTAAAAGCAAGTCAACTGCAAAAATGTGTCATATGAACACAAAGTAAAATTCATAGCTTTAATATATACTTTGATTCCTTAATAATTGTTCGTTGTACAGCTGAGACATACTCAAATCATCAGGTCGTTGATTAATAGTATACATAAATGTATGTTTTTCCAGCTTCTGTCAATGAAAACACATGCAATATATGATTCTAAGGCCACTACAAACACATTTAAATATAGTTTACTCTCAATGGACACAGAGTGAGACTAGTTGAGGAGTTGCTGTGAACTGGTAATACATGTAACAGCCATAAACAGCAGAAGGGACCAAATCTAGGTAACAAAAATAATGCTTTGATTAGTGTGCTTTTGTTTACCAGTTCATTTGAAAACATTAAATCTTCATTGAAATCAGTCGTATTCTGTGCTTGGTGGAGCTGTAACCATATATACTACCATTCACATGTGTAGTGACAGTACTATTTGCTGGTGAAACATTTATGATTGTGACATACAGTAGGTACAGTTGAAGTCGGAAGTTTACATACACTTAGGTTGGAGTCAATAAAACTTGTTTTTCAACCACTCCACAAATTTCTTGTTAACAAACTATAGTTTTGGCAAGTCGGTTAGGACATCTACTTTGTGCATGACACAAGTAATTTTTCCAAAAATTGTTTACAGACAGATTATTTCACTTATTATTCACTGTATCACAATTCCAGTGGGTCAGAAGTTTACATACACTAAGTTGACTGTGCCTTTAAACAGCTTGGAAAATTCCAGAAAATGATGTCATGGCTTTAGAAGCTTCTGATAGGCTAATTGACATAATTTGAGTCAATTGGAGGTGTACCTGTGGATGTATTTCAAGGCCTACCTTCAAACTCAGTGCCTCTTTGCTTGACATCATGGGAAAATCAAAAGAAATCAGCCAAGACCTCAGAAAGAAAATTGTAGACCTCCACAAGTCTGGTTCATCCTTGGGAGCAATTTCCAAACACCTGAAGGTACCACGTTCATCTGTACAAACAATAGTACGCACGTATAAACACCATGGGACCACACAGCCGTCATACCGCTCAGGAAGGAGAGGCGTTCTGTCTCCTAGAGATGAACGTACTTTGGTGCGAAAAGTGCAAATCAATCCCAGAACAACAGCAAAGGACCTTGTGAAGATAATGGAGGAAACAGGTACAAAGGTATCTATATCCACAGTAAAACAAGTCCTATATCGCATATCCTGGAAGGACGCTCAGCAAGGAAGAAGCCACTGCTCCAAAACCGCCATAAAAAAGCCAGACTACAGTTTGCAAATGCACATGGGGACAAAGATCGTACTTTTTGGAGAAATGTCCTCTGGTCTGATAGAACTGTTTGCCCATAATAACCATTGTTATGTTTGGAGGAAAAAGGGGGAACTTGCAAGCCGAAGAACACCATCCCAACCATAAAAGCACGGGTGGTGGCAGCATCATGCTGTGGGGGTGCTTTGCTGCAGGAGGGACTGGTGCACTTCACAAAATAGATTGCATCATGATCAGTCAAGAAGTTAAAGCTTGGTCGCAAATGGGTCTTCCAAATGGACAATGACCCCAAGCATACTTCCAAAGTTGTGGCAAAATGGCTTAAGGACAACAAAGTCAAGGTATTGGAGTGGCCATCACAAAGCCCTGACCTCAATCCTATAGAAAATGTGTGGGCAGAACTGAAAAAGCGTGTGCGAGCAAGGAGGCCTACAAACCTGACTCAGTTACACCAGCTCTGTCAGGAGGAATGGGCCCAAATTCTCCCAACTTATTGTGGGAAGCTTGTGGAAGGCTACCCGAAACGTTTGACCCAAGTTAAACAATTTAAAGGCAATGCTACCAAATACTAATTGAGTGTATGTAAACTTCTGACCCACTGGGAATGTCATGAAATAAATAAAATCTGAAATAAATCATTCTCTCTACTATTATTCTGACATTTCCCATCCTTAAAATAAAGTGGTGATCCTAACTGACCGAAGACTGGGAATTTTTACTAGGATTAAATGTCAGGAATTGTGGAAAACTGAGTTTAAATGTATTTGGCTAAGGTGTATGTAAACTTCCGACTTCAACTGTATATAGTAAGCACTTCATTTCTTGACCATCTCACATCTCTGATGTATTTTAAAGTAAACAGTATGTCTAATGCATATATGCGCTGTCATGTTAGCTGTTCTTTATTGCGATTTGTAATTTTCAATGTTTATACTATCTCTACAAGGCTACACAAACAATCCCATTCAAATATGCTCAACCCATTATATTCAGAAGTGGATCACAGTCATTTAACCTGGCATTTGCTTCCTTGACTAAACATAATAATACATTTTTAAAACAAGTATTCAATGAAGGATTTAGTCACATCAAAACCTTGCACTTTCTAAGTGCAATGCATTTGTAGTAAATTGACACAGATGTGATCAGTTTGAAACAAATATTCAATTACATCCTTGTTGACATGAAATCTAGATTAAATAAACTGGTATTCAAGAGTTGCACATTATTTCCATCAAGTCAAGTAAAGCTCAGGAATATTGTCATCGCATGGCTAAAACCGTATTCTCTGGATAACAATAAAGACATAATATATTGTGCAAAACAAATAACACAGCCTTGATGCCCTCTTGACAGAATATGTAAAATAATATCACATCAAGGCTGCGTTTACACAGGCAGCCCAATTCTGATATTTTGCCACTAATTTGTCTTTTTACCAATCAGATCTTTTGCCCATAATTGGGCAAAAGATCAGAATTGGGCTGCCTGTGTAAACGCAGCCTAAAATCCCATTGGCATTTTGTTAAAATGATGAAGTGCAGTTAGAAGAAATGGGAGTCGATGAGAGAGAAGAGGTGAGGTGTGTGCTGTGTGTATACAATGAGGGAGAAGTGGTTCACTACTACAGATCTGGGGGATATTCATTAGTACATACCGTAGCAAAATGTTTTGCAACGGAAAACAAAAACAAGCCTTTCTCATTGGACAGAATCAGGTAGGTCCCTCCCTGTTTCGGCCCATTTGCTGCCACTTGGTTCCTTGTAAATACACCACTGAAAACATGTATGTTTCATTTCAGGACTACAAAATCTAACTATTAGCATCTGAGTATATTCTTTGCCAAAGAGTATGTAGTCCAGCGGGAATAGTGAGGTCACCCTGACAGTAAACAAATTACTTCCAAACAAAAGAATACTGTGAACCACAATAAATAAAATATTGATCAACTAAAGTGCTGGCCTATGATTTCTATGTGATTTTTCAAATATGATCAGAATAAGACTTTGGATTGTCCGCTGCTCCTGTATGCTTCCAAGTAAACAAATAAACAACAATAATAACATGTTCCGGTACCTTGACATTTTATTCTAAAACTCATTAGCTAATAGCACTATTCAGACTGATATTTGATTGAGTATTTGTTATAGTTGGTTAAGGACTAGCTTTTGGTTTTGGAGTTTGCTCTGAGAATGTCAAAAGTTACATAACTATCCTCTGTAGTACATCACAGTACCATACCACTGCCCAGCTCAACTTTCCATGTCTCAGGGCAGGGAAACTTCCGTCCCACTGTACACATAAGAACTTAATAAGATTGGAGACAGTTTCAAACTGATCCAAGATGGACCCTCAGTCTCTCAGTCTTTTATTTTACACAGTGAATCCAGAAGATAGAATCTAGATGCTCAGATAGCTGAATTCTTTTGGGCTGTATAATATTTGAGTTATCAATGCCCTTGATGATAATATATCCTTTATGACACTTTTTAACATTTATCAGATCAAAATGGGTCCTCTGATGTGGAATATGACAGAGAAAGCATGAGGATGTCCAGATAGAATAACAGCTAGTGGAGGCTATTTATTTCAGATGGCTAAATAAAAACGTACAGTTATGAATATAACTACTGTTCCCTGAAGGAGGGAACGAGGTATAACATACAAATCAAATCATATTGTATTTGTCACATGCACCGAATACTGAATGCTTACTTACAAGCCCTTAACCAACAATGCAGTTTTAAGAAAATAAAATATTTACTAAATAAACTAAAGTTAAAAAGAATATATAGATTTAAAAAATACTATGGGGAGTCAATGACCAATCACACCTGAAGCAAACTAAAAACATACCCAACGGCCCAATGAATACAGAATCCACCCTCAGAAGCCCCGCCTTCCTGGCTATAACACCGGGGCTCGCAATAATTTAGTCAAATCAGTACTGCTCTTCGGCGAGCCAAACCCCCTGACGGCACAGGGCCAAAATATGTTATACTTCGTTCCCTCCTTTAGGGAACATTAGTTGTATTCATAACTCAACATTCCCTTTCAGTCGGTCACACGGCATAACATACTATGGGGACATACAATCACGCCCCAAGCCAGCTCAGAGGGTACCAAACTAGGAGGCCCACGGCAGCCCTAGCACACAGGTTCCACCGGCTCCAGAAAGGGGTTACAGAAGCCACCTTTTTCCCTTAAACTTACCCGAGAAGCATGACCTGTCAGAGCCCCATATAGGTAACCAGAACCTGCAGCAACTTGGTTATGCGCACTGACACGCTGCTACTGCATAGACCCTACGGTTCCAAGAACAATACTTACTTACCTTACGAGCCTGAAATGTTATAACTCGTACAAGGCACTGCAAGTCCAAAACAATAGAACACCTGTCGTGACTTGGTAAAGCGCCCACACGCGCTGCATAGCATCGACCAGAGTCGATTAACCACTGCAGCCCAAGGCTCAAACCCACAGGGAATTGTGGTAACCCAAAAAAATATATGTTTTATTGTCACATACTGTACACCGGATAGGTGCCGTGAAATGTGTTGATTTACAGGGTCGGGTATTTGACCCAGTGACCTTTCGGTTACTGGCCCAATACTCTAACTACTACTGGCCCAATGCTACCTGCCGCTACCTGATAAATGCGTACTGCACACTGCCACCCAGCAAGGCAGCCCAAGGCTCAAACCCACAGGGAAACTGTGTTAACCCGGACAAAACGCTGCCTAATATCGACCTAGGCGGCCCAAATCCATAGACCCTACCGGTTCCAAAAAGGCTCCCACAGAGACCCAAGGAGTCTGGAATTCCAGAACTCAGACAAGGAACCGCAAGTCCAAAACAACAGGGCATCTGCTGCTCCAATATCGGAAGAAAGCGCCTCAGTGCCAGCAAAACAGCCAGTAGCTCCAGGTAATTGATATGCAGCGCCCTTAGCGCTTTCGACCAAACCCCCCTTTCCGAGTAGCCCACACACAGCGCTTGCCATCCCAGTGAGGATGCGTCTGTCGTGATCACCCTGCGGGACACTACCCGGCCCATGGGAACCTCCTGCAACAACAGTCGCTGGGTTCTCCAAGGAGTTAACGCACTCAGGCACGATGGGGATATCTTGAGCAACCGATGGCAATGGCGAGATGCATCCAGACGCGTAGCTACGTGAACCAATCGCTGTGACGCACCGACTGTAGTAGCCGCCGAAGCATGAGGATTTTGAACTTGCACACCTTAAGGGGCTTGTCCAAACCACGCAAGTCCAGGATGGGATGCAGCGTTCCATTGCTCTTAGGAACTAGGGAATACCGCCTGTACCAACCACTCTGTACTTCTGACAGGAGAACCACCATAGCCTCCTGTAGCTCAGTTGGTAGAGCATGGTGCTTGCAACGCCAGGATTTTGGGTTTGATTCCCACGGGGGGCCAGTATGAAAAATGTATGCACTCACTAACTGTAAGTCGCTCTGGATAAGAGCGTCTGCTAAATGACTCAAATGTAAATGTAAAATAGCCCACTTCCAAAGATGAGAAGAAATCTCCTCTCTCAAAACAGGCGCTAGGAAACACCCACAGTGACACCTCACATGCCCGCCACTGGGCAGAGCACATGGCCAATATTGTCATCTGCAGGGGCGGAGCACCACCTTGGGGACTGGGATACCATACCATACTTTCGATGCTTGTAATTCGAGGGACAAGTTCTCCTTCAGGCGAGCTGAAGAGCGGAGAATTTAGGAAATTAATGCGAGCCCCAGTGTTATGGCCAGGAAGTCGGGGCTTCCAAGGGCGGGCTTTGCATTCATTGGCACGTTGGGCGTGTTTTTAGTTTTCTTCAGGTGACTCCCCATAGTTTGTTATACCGAGTGACCAACTGAAAGGGAACCTACAGTTACTCAAAGGCCATAGTATAGTATATATAGAACAGTGGAGGCTGCTGAGGGGAGGACGGCTCATAATAATGTCTGGAATGGAGTGCATGGAATGTTATAAAACACATGGAAACCACGTGTTTGATACCATTCCATTCATTCCATTCCATCCATTACTATGAGCCATCCTCCTCTCAGCAGCCCCCACTGATATAGAAGAGTTACAGACCGGACTGACAATGATGTAGACTACACAGATATTAGCCGTTGTTTGCTGTTGGTCGATTTACACTGTGGTGTAGTTGATTGTTGTTGGGGTTAAAGTTGATTGTTGTAAAATGCAGTCTGTGAGCAGTGTTTTCAAAAAGTGCACTCGTAGATGGAGGCCTAGGCTTGCACTGTCTGGTGATAATAGGAGTAGTACTGTAGCTGTGCTGTTAGCCACATTATGCAAGCGTTTAAGATCAATACATCTGGATATAAGGTGCCAGTGCTTAGCTAACCACAACTTTATCAATGAATAAATCACAACCTTGCTGGTATGACCCTGCCATTTTAAAGCCATGTCAAGCTCTGGTTGGTGCCAGACAGCCAGTCTCAGTCTGGCATAGTTCAGTTTTGGCATTGCCTGGTTGGCTTACCTCCGTAGTATTGCAATATATCAGTTTGTCACAGTGGGGTGCGGCCAGTCTTTCCCCCTCCCCCATCCCGGTGTGTCCCCTCTCTCTCTCTCTCTCTCTCTCTGTCTCTCTCTCTCTCTCTATCTCTCTCTCTCTCTCTCTCTCTCTCGCTCTGTCTCTCTCTCTGTCTCTCTCTCTCTCTGTCTCTCTCTCACTCTCTCTCTGGCTCTGGCTCTGTCTCTCTCTCTCTCTCTCTCTCTCTCTCTCTCTCTCTCTCTCTCTCTCTCTCTCTCTCTCTCTCTCTCTCTCACCACTTGTGCTGACTGTGCACTGATCTCCTCTTCTCCTCCAGAGACACACCCTCCTCCTCCTGGCTGACCCGACAGTCCTTTATGTCCTCCATCTCCACCTCGTCATCCTTCCCCTCCTCTGGGGGGCTCTGAGCCACAGCAGGCTCCTCCTCTTCCTCCTCCTTTTCTACCTCAGCCATACGCACCACAGAGAACTCCATCTGACTGTCCGGGCTGGCTTTGACTATGGTAACACTCCCCACCTCCAGCTTGTCCTCTAAAGGGCCTCTGCTGGTGGGGGAGACTTTCATGGGGTCCACGGTGGGGGAGACTTTCACAGGAACCGCAGTGGGAGAAACCTGGTCGGCCCTGACAGTAGCAAGGCTCTCAACCTTGTCCTCTGGCCCTTTCGTGGTGGGTGAGGTTTCGTCCACCTTGACAAAAGTAGTAGTATTCTTTAGAATGCTACGGGGTGCAGTTGTGGGGGACACCATTAAGGGGGTAGGGGCAGGGGAGAGATTTAAGGGAGTAGGGGCAGGGGACACTTTTTTGGAGGATGGGGCAGGGGACACCATTAAGGGGGTAGGGGTGGGGGAGACATTTAAGGGGGTAGGTATGGGGGACACTTTCCTGGAGGACATGACTGGGAAGACTTGTATGGGGGAAGGGTCGGGGGACACCATTAAGGGAGTAGGGGAGGGGGACACTTTTCTGGAGGACAGGTCAGGGGGGACATTCAAGAAGCTAGAGGTTGGAGAGGCTTGTACAGGGGTAGGGATAGGAGAGACATTTAAGGGGCTACGGGTAGGGTTATTAGAGGTGCCTGGGGTAAGGGGGAATATCTCAGGGGTCATGGGGGTGACTTGTACTGGGGTGGTGGTGGGGGAATCTTGTATTGGGGGCGTTAGGGGGGAGACTCCTCCTGGACTCACGTTGGGAGAGACCGGTACGGGACCCTCTGTGGGGGACACTACAAAAGTGACCCTAGTGGGGGACATTTTAACAGGGGCCATCTCAGTGTCGTCAGGTGCACCAGAGTCCAGGCTGGGCTGGGATGACAGGATCTTCACAGGGCTGGAGGTCTGCAATGGAGAAGTATTCAATGGAGCAGTGAAGAGGGGTTCCTCTTCTACCATGGGCTGGCTCAGTGGCACTTTGGCCCCCACTGGATCACTACCTCTGCGCAGCGAGAATAGAACCAGACTCTTCTTCCGCTTGGCTGCGGTGGGAACCACACCATTGGTGCTGTCCGTTTTGACGTCTTTGAACATGCTCCGCAGGTTGTACCCGTCCTTCCTCTGGGGGTCCTCCTCATCCCCCTTCTCACTATCCAGGGCCTCCGATTGGTCTAACTGGTCGCCAGACCCTTGATCCTTTTTGTCCATGTGGGTGACTCGGAACCTGTAGGTATACGGACCTCTGTTAGTTAAGTACATCACCACGATGAGGACTTTACATAGCATAACTGTACACATGTAAAGTACTTAAACACAAACACAAAGGCCTCTGAATCCCCAGAATCCTAAATCCTAAACCCCCTAGAGCCAATGTCCACGCGCCCCCCGCGGAAATCGAATTGGCATAATCAAAATAAAAGCTAGAAAATAATGTACTTTTTACTCCATACATTTTCCCTGACACCCAAAAGTACTAGTTAAATTGTTAATGCTTAGCAGGACAGGAAAATGGTCCGATTCAGACACTTATCAAGAGAACATCCCTGGCATCTCTACTGCCTCTGATCTGATGGACTCACTAAACACAAATGCTTCGTTTGTAAATTATAGTTAATTCGGAAAGTATTCAGACCCATTCCCTTTTTCCACATTTTGTTATGTTACACCCTTATTCTAAAATGGATTAAATAAAAAAAAATCCTGATCAATCTAGACACAATACCCCATAAAGACAAAGTGAAAACAGGTTTTTATAAATTTTTGCAATTGTATTACAAATAAAAAACAGAAATACCTTATTTACATAAGTATTCAGACCCTTTGCTATGAGACTCGAAATTGAGCTCAGGTGCATCCTGTTTTCATTGATCATCCTTGAGATGTTTTTACAACTTGATTGGAGTCCACCTGTGATACATTTAATTGATTGGACATGATTTGGAAAGGCACACACCTGTCAATATAAGGTCCCACAGTTGACAGTGCATGTCAGAGCAAAAACCAAGCCGTGAGGTCGAAGGAATTGTCCGTAGAGCTCCGAGACAGGATTGCGTTGAGGCACAGATCTGGGGAAGGGGGTACCAAAAGATTTCTGCAGCATTGAAGGTCCCCAAGAACACAGTGGCCTACATCATTCTTAAATGGAAGAAGTTTGGAACCAACAAAATTCTTCCTAGGGCTGGCTGCCCGGCCAAACTGAGCAATCGGGGGAGAAGGGCCTTGGTCAGGGAGGTGACCAAGAACTCGATGGTCACTCTGACAGAGCTCCTCTGTGGAGATGGGAGAACCTTCCTGAAGGACAACAATCTCTGCAGCACTCCACCAATTAGGCCTTTACGATAGTGGGGCCAGACGGAAACCACTCCTCATTAAAAGGCACATGACAGCCCGCTTGGAGTTTGCCAAAAGGCACCTAAAGGACTCTCAGACCATGAGAAACAAGATTTTCTGGTCTGATGAAACCAAGATGAAACTCTTTGGCCTGAATGCCAAGCGTCACGTCTGGAGGAAGAATTGGTATTGTGTGTAGATTGGAAAAACAACAATTTAATAAATGTTAGAACAAGCCTGTAACATAACAAAATGTGGAAATAGTCAAGGGGTCTGAATACTTTCCGAATGCACTGTATGCACTCCTGAGTGGCGCAGTGGTCTAAGGCACTGCATCGCAGTGCTAACTGTGCCACTAGAGATCCTGGTTCGAATCCAGGCTCTGTCGCAGCCGGCCGCGACCGGGAGACTCATGGGCGGCGCACAATTGGCCCAGCGTCGTCCAGGGTAGGGGAGGGAATGGCCGGCAGGGATGTAGCTCAGTTGATAGAGCATGGCGTTTGTAATGCCAGGGTTGTGGGTTTGATTCCCATGGGGGGGCCAGTATAATAAAATATGTATTCACTAACTGTAAGTCGCTCTGGATAAGAGCGTCTGCTAAATGACTAAAATGTAAATATAAAATGTATGTCTGAGTGCTGGAGTATGCCCCTAGCTATCCATAATTTTAATTTTTTTCATGGTGCCGTCTGGTTTGCTTAATATAAGGAATTTGAAATGAGTTATACTTTTACTTTTAGTTTTGATACTTAAGTATATTATAGCAATAACATTTACTTTTGGTACTTAAATATATTTAAAACCAAATACTTTTAGACTTTTACCCAAGTAGTATTTTCCTGGATGACTTTCACTTTTACTTGGGTCATTTTCTATTAAGGTATCTTTACTTTTACTCAAGTATGACAATTGTGTTCTTTTTCCACCACTGTTCCAGAGGCAACTCGGTAGTGAGTGTTGCAACCAAGGACAGACGATTTTTACACGCTACGCACTTCAGCACTTGGCGATCCCGTTCTGTGAGCTTGTGTGGCCTACCACTTCGCGGCTGAGCCGTTTTTGCTCCTAGACGTTTTCACTTCGCAAAAACAACACTTACAGTTGACCGGGGCAGATCTAGCAGGGCAGAAATTTGACAAACCGACTTGTTGGAAAGGTGGCATCCTATGACGGTGCCACGTTGAAAGTCACTGAGCTCTTCATTAAGGTCATTCTACTGTCAGTGTTTGTCTATGGAGATTGCATGGCGTTGTGCTCAATTTTTTAGACCTGTCAGCAACGGGTGTGGCTAAAATAGCCAAATCTACTAATTTGAAGGGGTGTCCACATACGTTTGTATATATAGTGTAGATGTCGGTTGTTTGCTCCAAATGGCGCCGGAGAAGATGGCTGCCGTTTTACAGCCCTCTAACCAATTGTACTATTATGTGTGTTTTTCCGCATTATTTGTAATTTATTTTGTACATAATGTTTCTGCCATCGTCTCTTATAACCAAAAAGAGCTTCTGGATATCAGGACAGCGATTACTCACCTCGTATTGGACGAAGATTTTTTCTTCAACGAGGCGGCCGCGAAGGATATCCTACAGACACCCGACAAGGCCCAAATCCCCGTCATTTGCATGAGGAAGAGACGGAGATATCGTGGACGTAGGTCGGGGTGCCTTGTAAGGATCCGACAGCGAGCGAGTAAACTGCCTCTACCATCAATCCTATTAGCCAATTTTCAATCATTTGAGAAGAAATGGGATTACCTAAGATTACGGTTATCCTACCAATGGGACATTAAAAACTGATTTATTTTACTTCTGCTCTTTTTTTTCTCATCACTTTTTTGTTGTTTTATTTTACTTTTTTAATTAAAAATAAATGCACTGTTGGTTAAAGGCTGTAAGTAAGCATTTCACTGTAATGTCTGCACCTGTTGAATTCGGCGCATGTGGCCAATTAAATTTTATTTTATTTTATTTTATTTGACAAGCCTCACAAGACTCATCTGAAGTTAGCCAGGTACCAGTTAAAAAAATATTATGGAGGTATATATGAAAGTAGTTTCAGTGGTGTAAAGTACTTAAGTAAAAATACTTGAAAGTACTACTTAAGTAGTTTTTTGGGGTATCTGTACTTTACTTTACTATTTATATTTTTGACTACTTTTACTTCACTACATTCCTAAAGAAAAGGATGTACTTTTTACTCCATACATTTTCCCTGACACCCAAAAGTACTTTTTGCATTTTGAATGCTTAGCAGGACAGGAAAATGGTCTAATTCACACACTTATCAAGAGAACATCCCTGGTCATCCCTACTGCTTCTGATCTGGCGGACTCACTAAGCACATGCTTCGTTTGTAAATTATATCTTAGTGTTGGAGCGTGCCCCTAGCTATCCGTAAATAAAAAAAACAAGAAAATGAGGCTGTCTGTCTGGTTTGCTTAATATAAGACATTTTAAATTATTTATACTTTTACTTTTGATACTTAAGTATATTTTAGCAATTACATTTACTTTTGATACTTAAATATATTTAAAAGCAAATACTTTTAGACTTTTACTGAAGTAGTATTTTACTGGGTGACTTTCACTTTTACTTGAGTAATTTTCTATTAAGGTATCTTTATTTTTACTAAAGTATGACAATTGGGTACTTTTTCCACCACTGAGTAGTTTAGTGCCCAACAAAGGGGTTAGAAATTTGTACAAATATATTTTTAATAATTTACTGAGCTTTCTTATATCTCTCAGATATAAGACAGACACTTCAAAACATACTTCATTTTGGTAATTCCTTGGTATGACCATCTTAAAACAATTCCAAATGTTAGCTTAGTAGAAACCCAGCCCCAGGCCCTTAGACCATAAGGGGTAGATGTGGCTACAGGGTCGTTATTGTAAAATAAAATGTGTTCTTAATTACTTACTTGGTTACCCTCTTAGAAAAAAAGGTGCTATCTACAACATAAAACGGTTTTTCGGCTGTCCCCATAGGAGAAGCCTTTGAAGAAACATTTTTGCTTCCAGCTAGAACACTTTTGGTTCCAGGTAGAACACTTTTGGGTTCCATGTAGAACCCTCTGTGGAAAGGGTTCTACCTGGAACCAGAAAGGGTTCACCTATAGGGACAGCCAAGTAACCTTTTTGGAACACTTTTTCTAAGAGTGTAAATAAAGATTTAAATAATTCAATATGAATGTTTTGTGTTGTCAAACACCAGTGAGCAGACCAGTGTGACTCACCTTCCCACAGCAAACACAGTGGACTCTCTCCTCTCTCCCGGCGTCCTCGGCTTATTGTTCCGAGGTACACGGCTCCGGCGTCGGGCCTTCTTGGAGCGCCCTTGCACACAGAGTGTGCAGGACTTGTGGTCAAGCTGGGCGCCAGAGTGCACGGTGTGGTGATGAGGTGGAATACCCCCCAGGCTCTCTTTGCGCAGTAACCTTTCGGAAAGACAATGAAGCAATCACTCTGTCATATGTATTTTCCATTCAAACACACTGAACCATAGAAACCTGACTAAGCAAAAACATCCAAAGCCAAAGACATCTTTCCAAGCATCTAAGGAGAAATTTTTAAAGAAGCAGCTGCTGGTTTCTAGCATATTTATTGGAGTCTGTCTGTGAAATATGAGTCTCTAGTGTGATCTATTAGTCCCTCGGTTCCCCACTCTGACCGCCTCTGTCTGTGCCCTCCCTCCCATCAAGACTGCAGCATCCCTGGGGAGGTGTCTGTAGCTGTGCTGCTGTAGCTGGCTGAGAGTGTGGGAAGAATACGAATGGGTGGCCAACAAACGCCACAGCCCTGCAGGCTGCTATCAGTCTGAGCACTAGCTTGGCAAACAGGCAGGAACACTAAAACACTCAACCTAGAGGTACCAAGTAAGAATCTGGATCTAATTAAAAAGCATAAATCAGTTTTCCTCTCTCCAATACGCTAGTAGCACATCACAGCTATATTATCACAGCACATCACTGGGTCGGAGTTTCTCTCAAATGCCCTCGATCATCTCAACCTAGAATTCTTTATATGCAGTGGTGAAAAAAGTATCCAATTGTCATACTTGAGTAAAAGTAAAGATACATTAATAGAAAATAACTCAAGTATAAGTGAAAGTCATCCAGTAAAATTCTACTTGAGTACAAGTCTAAAATGTATGGAGTAAAAAGTACATTATTTTCTTTAGGAATGTAGTGAAGTAAAAGTAAAAGTAGTCAAAAATATAAATAGTAAAGTATAGTACAGTTACCCAAAAAAACGACTTAAGTAGTACTTTAAAGCGTTTTTACTTAAGTACTTTACACCACTGTTTATATGGATGTGAGTAGTAGCATGTTGTTGGGAGATGTTGGGAGTAGAATAGCTGTTCTCTCTTGCTCTGTTTCTTAGCTTTTCTTCTCTCTCTCTCTATGTCTTCCTCAAATGCTTTATATGGACGTGAGTAACACTTTGTTGGAGTACAGTAGTAGCATAATATGTTGGGAGACTATTTGTGTTTTGCCTCAGAACACGGCAGTAAAGATCAGATCCCATAATAGAGCTACTGATGCCAGGGCAACAATAAGCCAGTTGGCCCCATGGGACAGACAGCCCAAGGTAAGAGACACTGACTGCATACACAGCTGCCTACAGGGACACAGGAACAGAGGGGCTGGGCACCCCACTGTAAAGCTACCGTCTGGTCCCAGGATAAATACAAGCTACACACGATACACTTTATCCAGGCTCAGTCTGCCTTCCACAGGCACAGTGAAATGTGCACCCATTACTGTGGCCTCTCTGAAAACGCCACACCCTAAAGCAGGAGGAAAAAACCTGTAGTACGGTACGCCGAGTACAGAAGACCTGCATTTGAACCATATGTATTATGTACCACACAAATACTGGTTTGTTTAAGAGCTAAAATAAACTAGGACTATATTACTTGAGAGAGTTGGTGCTCTTAGGAAGTAAGGCACTTGTTTCCCTTAGCTCTGCACACTAAAAGACTTTCGCCCAGGGTTAATACAACCATGGAGTAATGCCAGTCAGAGGATCTAAACATAATGTAAATCAATGTTTTATATCTAAAAGAGGCTTAATGTTTGAACAAGCTGTGCTTAATTTTCTAAATCAAAATAGTTCACATTTTTAAGTGTACTTCTTTTCAGTATATTTTTAAGGCAAGGTGAATGTGAATGTACTTACATGAATAATAGATATCATAACCAAATCAAAAAAGTTAGTATTAGCCATACATACGTAGGATCATGATGTTCACAAATATTCTGTTTTCCTAGCATCTCCTTGAAGGCTTCCATGTTGGCTAGAAAGCAAAACAGAACCCAAAAATGACACTTTTATTTTAAAGCACAATTTAAATTGCAGTATTGAAGTGTAATGCCTAAGGTATTGACAATATCTAGTATCTATTGTGTTGTTTCTTGAGTTACTACCTTCATTTTCAATGATGCACTTCAGGATTTGTTCAACAGTGTCTTGATTGTCCTCTTCTTCATCATCTGTAATATATGAAAGATTGTCTGACGAAGCAGCTTGCCCCCAAGCTTGCTCCATCATCATTCAAGATTAGTAAAGGAAATTCTCAAAGTTGTCGACCTTAACCATTTTTCATCACTTCAATGAAAGAAGCTTATTTCTGTTTGTGTGAATCAACCGATTCTACAGCTCCTTTAAGGTAGTTTATTTCAACTAAAGCATCCAATAAGGGGCCGGCTTTTGAAGTACTCACTAATTCAATATGGAAAATATGACTTCTTCGTGAGTGTCCAATGTTTACATAGGAATTCAAGCTGAATAAGCATCCTCTTAAACTAAACAGTACAACAGAGTGCCTCTGTTTCCTGTTTGGCAAAAGCCCAAGACCCTTTGGATAAAGACTGACACCATTGAAAAAAGTCACACATACCTTATGTATCTGCCTTAGAAAATCAATAATGGATGCTTGTTAACTTCTTCAAGCCATATCCCTGATCCTGAAATCAATGGATAGATCCAAAGCCAATATATAAAACTCTTTCTGACAGATCCTTGTTTTCCCTGGTAGATACTTACCATTCTTGTCTGGTCCCAGTTTCTGCTTACACTCCTCCTCATCTTCCTCTTCCTCCTCCCCTGTCCTGCAGCGGTAGCCCTTCTTCTTCAGCAGGTGGCAGACCAGGAAACCCAGGAGGCCCGTGATGAAGAAGAAGAAAACCAGGAGGAAGATAATGTATGGGGGAGGGGTTTCACCCACTGTCGATGCCTCCAGGTCCGTCATCTCTCAGCAGAGTCTTCACTCACCCTCTATCTGTACCGTAGTCCTATATAGGCAATGGACACATACATATGTACTGTACTGTAGAGTCAGTGATGAAACCTTGAAGGGTCCCCCACCACACTTAACAGACGACAACTGTTGATCCATTCAGCAGCATTGATGGGCCTGCGTGCGTGGTCTTGTCTGGCCATCTGAGTCTCCTGTCATCATGTGTGGTATAGATAACCCCCCCCCCCCCCTCAGCTTCCGTGCGTACCGCTGGCTAACGCCAACCTTATCTATCTCAGCAGGCAGAGTTGGGCCAGGGGGTACACACCCTCTGATGTTTTTCCACTGGGCATCTTAGCCCACACTCACACTCACACTCACACTCACACACAGACACACTGTGCTAAATTCCACAGGCCAAGGAGTGAGGCTTTCATCGGTGACTCTTTAATTCAAATTTCGTTGTATGGTACTTGATAGGTTGTAAAACCTGGTCAGCAAAATAACTACATGTTTGTACTACAATGTTATTTTTAAAGTTGTGAATTAAAGTTGAATGCTTCTGCTTACAGAGGAAATTGGTCAATATTTTGGTCCATATTTTTCAGTTAAACTCTTATTACAGAGGGCCTAAACACAACCACCTAAAGCCCATCACCCCAGCAGTTCAGACATATACTCCATTGCTGTTCCCCAGCAGCAGTAGAATAATATTTCCTGTGTCTCTCTAAAGAAAACAATTACATTCCCTTCTGCCTACTCTCCCAGCCTGACATTTGTACAATACGTGGGTGGAATTGGAAATGTATGGCAAGTAATGTTTCTGTGAAATGTAGTCTATCTGTCCCTCTAAATCATGCCACTTACTGATACGGCTGTCACTAGTCTAGTGACACTGTCACAAGAGGACAAGTCCTGTATGTTATGTCAGACTTACATCAATTGATTATAGATTCTCAATAAATCTGCTGAATTACAATTAGGTAATTTGCACTAAACATTGAATTTGCAGCAAAAAAAATGACAGGAAAGGACACAAGCCAACTGAAATATGGGGCAGAATATCTCTGCATCAGCATAAGCACAGATAATCTTGAGGTGACTCAGCAATATAATGCACTCCATCAGGAACACACACATTGATGCCACTGCAGCAACATACTGTGTTTTTCCCTGTCACTGAAGGGAAGCTCAGCACTCATATCACTGCAAACAGCATTTTTAAGAATAGCAGAAAAAAACGTGAATCAATTGAGGCATTGATTTTTTATATGTGATGCCTGCTGTTGTCAGCAGTCCTTTTCCCTTTTATTTCCTAGAGATTAATATAATTTCAAACTAGCTACAAACTGGCCATTTTAATTTTATAGATTAGTGTCATATAAAAAATACCTGACCTCTACTCATCATGGCTGACTGTTTCCACATTCCGACTCCTTCAGTGACATACATGACCTTTTGAATATCAACTTCCTTTCAGATTACCTTTACTATAACTTCAACTGTGGAGAATGCACAGCTGTGCAGTAAATGTTTTTCGGGAGGGTAAGGGTTTAGAGGCATATTTGCATTACTGCATCATCGACATGAATTGTCTCAGTTCAAGTTCAAGCCTAGGGCTACACAAGTGACCTTGATCTCAGTGATGACTACCTGACATGCTGTTACTAATCCTATTATAGTTAGAACTATGTGTAAGCTACAGGCTTACATAATTCAATATAAACTTATTATTATTATTTATAAACTAAAGACAGGCAATGGACAAACAAGACAGCTATTAGGCAATGGCCACTAACTAGCCTGTTGGTTAGGCAGGTGACAGCAGGTGAGCCACTTGAAAAAATCATAAACTCTATTTGATCATGGGATATACTTAACCTATTTAAGATCTTTCCACACTTTGTTATGGAAACAATGTAGCCTAACACTGTAGTTTACTTCTGGTTTGGTTGGATTTTTTAAAAGACTTTAATCACTATTCTTTAGTAATAACACCTTTATACACTTATTATAGTGCATCCTTTGTCGGACAGCATTCAGGAATGTTCAAGTTCAGCTTTTGTACTATCCTTTTAGCCAAAAATAGTGAAGTCAGTTAATTCATTGTGACATGAGCATCGGTGGCCCGTGACTGCAACAGTAGCCTAAATTGAAGACCCAGAACAGAGTGACCATCCCGCAGTGCACTCCATCTTTTACAAGTTTTGGGCGGCCTCGTGGCCCATGATGACACATCTGCCCTTGGCTTTGTAAATGAACTAGTAGAGCAACGACACGCACACATATGATGGAATTTTGACAATGACAAATATGACAAAACCAGATATTATTGCTGGGTCTAGTCTGAGTCGGAACTTGTCGGAGGATGCACTTGAGTGCATGATACGCTCTATCATCGTGACTAAATCAGGCGGTCTACATAATTAATCAATGACACACTGCTACGCCAAATTACAAATATATATATTCATTCTAATAATATAATATTATTGCATAGTAATACTGTATCTATCGCTGTGCATAACAACATAGTCGCAATTCATTTTCTGCATCATATGCTCCCAAGGTTCGCTTGCTAATTTGAACAGCCCACCCGCCCATCGACAACCTATAATGAAACATTCCCTTTGATCATTATTTAACCAGCCCTACTCACGTTCTTTCAGAAACATTAGGAACCCGTAGTAAATGTGGATGCTATCCCGATAGGTGTGTGATCTCCTGTAATAAGTCTATTGAGGTGCGCTTGTTTTCTTCTGGGCGAACGAGAGCTGCTCTGGAGTAAACGGAGGGAAGGAGATTCTGCAAGTTATTTAAAGGGAAAATAGCCAAGACATATTGTGTAAACAGTGTTTTTTATTTTGCGGCCAGATTTTTGGACTCTTATATTTGTACAATTCATCCAATTGGTCCAATTAATCTAGGCTAACCATTCAATAATTTAAACAATTATTCTAGTAGTCCTGTTAAAAATAAACTACAAAAATGAGGGTTAACTAAAATTAGATACTTTTTTTATTTTTATTTTTTTATTTCACCTTTATTTAACCAGGTAAGCCAGTTGAGAACAGGTTCTCATTTACAACTGCGACCTGGCCAAGATAAAGCAAAGTAGTGCAATAAAAACAACACTTGAAGCATACCCTCTTAGAACAAAATAATAGCTGGACAGGTTCACACATGGCATGATTAAACCAAAGAGATATCAAACATGAGTTTTGTCAGCACCATGCATTATCCACATTAAAGGGGGAAACATTTGGATAACCAGAAGATATAGGCTACTGTATGTGATGTAGACCTATATAGGCTAGTAAACACATCATATCTATATCGAATCTGCATACAATAAGCCACATTCATCATATGAAAAAGTGAACTATTATTTTAATCATATTAAGCTTTTACATTTTTCTCTCTCTCCACATATGATCCACATACCGGTAATAAAAACAGCTGGACTGCCATGTGTTGCCGTGGAGAAAGTTGTATCCTAGTGGCTATGATCAGTAGTGCATTTCCAGAACCCACCCATAACCGCGGCCATACTCTGGACCTGGTTATTACCAAGGGGCTTTCTATTGACATATCCTGTTGTTGATGTTGCTTTATCTGATTACCACTGTGCATTTTTTACTACTTTAAGAAACGCTATCTTACCTCTGAAGTTGCTATATATTTTATTGAATGTATGAACAATACACCATCACCTATTCTGCCTTCCTCTTGTGATGGAAGTGGAGAAAGTCAAAGTTGCAGGTCCATTATGATATTCAGAGAGAGAAACTTGGCATATATAACAAGGCAATTAGAAATGCCAGAGGGGCTAATTTTTCTAACTTGATTTCTAATAATCAGAATAATTCGAGAGTGCTCTTCTCTACCATTGATGACCTGATAAATCCTACCCCCACAAACCTATATGAACTTTCCTCCACATCTAAATGTGATGAGTTTGCTGCATATTTCAGAGATAAGATAGCAAACATTAGGCTGGGTATCAGTCAAGCAAGACCTGATGAGAAGTCTGATGATATGTGCCCCAGCCTACCACACAAAGGCACAATGGAGTTATTTTCCCTGGTTGACACAGACATAATCAGGAAAGTGATATCACAACTTAAGCCTTCTACCTGCCTTCTCGATCCTATCCCCACCACCTTCTTCAAAACAGTTTTTAATTGCATATCTGAAGAAATGCAATCTATTGTTAATCACTCCCCACTGCACTAAAAACTGCTATGGTGAACCAAGGTACTTATTATTGGAGCCAAACCACAGAGAGAGAATCTGGCCGCACAATTTAATTCACAGGCAATAAAGATAAAACACCAGGTAAAAACATCTAGGTGTCATTTTAGATTCTGAACACAATTTCAAATCACACATTAGGAATGTGACCAAAATAGATGTTTACCATCTGAGGAACATTATCAAGGTGCGTCCGTTTCTATCTCAGGCTGATACAGAGAGACTCATCCATGCTTTTATTACAAGCAGGCTTGACTACTGTAATACTCTCCTGTCTGGTCTACCCAAGAAAGCCATTGGTCAACTGCAAAACATACAGAATGCTGCAGCACGGGTACTGACCAAGACCGAGATGGAGAGCACACATTACACCGGTTTTAAAGTCTTTGCACTGGCTGCCAGTGAGTTTTATAATTAATTTAAAGATCAATCTATTGGTTTTTAAATCAAACCACGATTGTGCACCCCAATACATATCAGACATGCTTTTGAGTTATGTACCCAGTAGGTCCCTCAGGTCCTCTGGCACTGGCCTTTTCACTATTCCAAAGCTTAGGACCAAGAGGCATGGAGAGGCAGCCTTTAGTTCCTATGCCACCTGCCTCTGGAATAGCCTGCCAACCTGAGGGAGGCAGAAACTTTGGGCATATTTAATAGATCTTAAAACACACCTTTTTAGCTTTGCTTTTCCTTAGGGTGCTTTTTTGGTCTTTCAGTTTGTATTATTATTATTTTGTTTTTATCCTCTTATGTTTGTTGTGTAGTAAATATTTATGTTTTTATTTTCATTGTTTTTTTATTTATATTTTTTTCCTGTGAAGCACATTGTGTTGCATTCATATCTGAAATGTGCTATATAAATAAAGCTTGATTTGATCTGCCCTCTCAT